TGTTTGAGAGTTCCGGGCGATGGTACGCGCTTCAAGTTCTTTGAAAATTGTTGTTTATGGATTGATGGTTGTTCTTTGTTCACTAGTTGAATTACTTTTCATGTCTATCTTGCAATAATCTTTGCATATATACTTTTGTATAGGCTAAACAAATCATGCCCCTGTTTGATCCACATTATTTTTTTTATTCTCATTCTTCTATTTATTTTCAACCACACATCCTTCAATAAAATAATATTTTCTATCTCATCTATAACTTTTCCTTCTTTTTCAACCACACATTCTCTATCAATCTACTTTTCCAAAATACATTCTTCCAAAATAATGTAGATCAAACACACCAATACCCATTTCATTTTGAAGCTTTATATTATAGAATTTGTTATTTATTATTAAACCCATGTTTGAGCCACATTATTTTTCTCATTCTCATTCTTCTACTCATTTTCAACCATACGTTCTTCAATAAAATAATATTTTTCATCACATCAATACTTTTTCCTTATGTTTCAACCATATATTACTTATGTAAAAATGCATTCTTACTCCCAAAATGTGCATCAAACAAGCTTTAAATGACATGTCGTGTCATTTTTTTTTAGTTAAGAGAATCATACGTCATAGCACTCTTTAGTTTACAATTTTTTAGTAGACATATGTGCGGCCTATATATATAATGAGCTTATAAGAATTTCTAAGTCTAATATTCAGATGTTAGCTTATATTTTTCGTTTTGTTAAATGTGAATTAAAGTTTTATATTAAAAAATATCAATTATGCTATTTGTACTATCATACTTGACAATAATGATTGACAATGTTGTTACTGTCAAAATTCGAGCCATTGATTTATTTTGAAAGGATGAATGCTTTGTTGCCAAATGTGAATAGTTAACAAATATTGTCAAACTGGATTGTACATGTAGTATATTCAAAAAAGATACATTCTAAGAAATGATGCTGTAGGTAGTAATATATTTAGGTGGGTAATGCTACATGTACACACACACACTTTTACACAATCTTTTACACCTCTCTCACATGGAGGGGGGTCCACGATTATTTTATTATGTGTGGGCCCCCTTCCGTGTGAGAGAGGTGTAAAAGATTGTGTAAAAAATTGTGTACACTTAGCGTTATTCTATTTAGGTTGGGTGTCAAGGTCGTTGGCATTTGCTTTCTGGTGTTGTCTTCAATATTTTTTCACCTTTTAGCATGGTTAGCTATTTTTTATCCTGTAATGTTCTGCATTAGAAATTGGCCTGATGTGATACTTTTTAAAGACCATACTCTTTGCAATTTGGCTTTTTTAAAAGAGCATTTTCCTTGAGCTTCCAAAGTGTTTACAAAACATTTTAACTGATATTTAGATTTCTCTCCCTAATTTTTGTATTGGATACAGATTAAAATTATACATTTAGTAGTGACAATTTACACGTCTATTTTTTTATTTTTTTTTTCAAATGTGTTTAAAATCAATTTCTTCATCTATCATGGCGGTAAATGAGAAAAAGACAATTAATACATAGATTAAAGCGAGTAATACTATTCATAGTGAAAACTACCGATAGTTGTCCCACGTGTCATACACAGCATTTTATTATTTTATGCATAGATGTAGTAGTTTTTTGTTGACTCGTGCATCAAATAATAAACTGCCATGTGTATGTCGCGTATGGTGACTATCGGTAGTTTTCACTATAAATAACATTAGTCATTAAAGGCTAATTGACATATTACCCTTCCACTTTTTAGGCCATGTTTGATAAGATAAGTTTTCCATGGAAGATGGAAATTTTTTTGTCATTTTTCACTTTTTAGAGTGTTTGATAGGAAACATTTTCCAGGTAATTGATTTTCCACATTTTCTTTCGTTATGAGGTTAAATCAATTCCCACCACTAGGCAGATTTTTTTTTTTTTTTGGGCAATGGAAATAAATTATATCTCCAATTGTAACAAATTATATCACTTTAATGACAATTTTCATGTAAAATAAAGTCAAACGAATTTGAAAAGATCCAAAATTTCAATATTTTTCAAGTGAAAAATTATACCAATCAAACACAATTAATTGACAATTCTCAGTAAAACAAGTTCCAGGCAATTCAATTCCATAGACTTCATTTTCTTTCCACCCAAATTCCATTCTTGCAATCAAACGAACCCTTAGAGTCATTGCGCAAAAATCCCTACCTTTTGGAGTTTACGAAAAACATCACTGTATGAAATTTGAAGTGTAGAAGACAACATATGAAGTGTGGAAAACCCCTAGTATGAACTTTGAAGTGAGATCCACACCTCTCTCATACAATTCCATTAGTTTAGACTGTTTAGTAGTTAAAAATAGTAAAAATTGGAAAAATTAAAAGGGAATAATTGTAAATGTGGTCTCAAACTTTTTATTTTTTTACAAATTACTTCCGAACATTTTATTTATATCGGCCACGATCTCAAATCTTTAGAAAATCATATTCTTCCCCAATTCTGTGCCTAATTTATCCCGTTTTCAAAGAACCGATTTACATCCCGCCTCCGAAAAACATTATTAGACCATACGAGCGTAGCTGATCCATTGTACAGCCCAATACATTAAAGTTCACTTATTATTAAGCTTGAGCCTAATGAGGGGCTTTTGCAAA